GGGGGGGGGGGGGGGGGGGGGGGGGGGGGGGGGGGGGGGGGGAGGGCGGAGCGAGCCGCTTAACGTGAACGAAAAGGTGGTAAAAAAAACCTGCATGCTGCTGAAAACACGCCCGGTATGTCAACAACGATTCACGAGAACAAGAAAGGATTGCCCCCTGCCCCCCACCCCCTTCCACGAAAATCAACGCACGGAACCTCCTGGCACTGGCCTGGAGGATGTTATGGAGACCGAACGACACCATGACACAGCTAACGAGGATGGTGAACTTGAGGGACGGGGACAGAGAGTCCAGCCATGCCGCCAGGGGTCCCTTGGCGTTGAAAGACGTCGCCGTCGGCCTCACGCTTGTCCTACCGCCGCCGCTGCCGTTGACAAGCGCAACGCCGCCGCCGCCGCCGCCGGCCTCTCGCCTAAGCGGGTCTGAGAAAACACAAGGAAGAACAAGCACGAGAAAAACAGGGCAAAAAAACAAAAGAGGAAAACGACAGCCGTGAGCAACTTCGACAAGCGTCTTTGGCCTTCTTCGCCGTCTCGTCGAGGAGCAACATAATGTCGGCAACCAGAATGGTCCACATGTGACGCCGACACCACAACAACAGCGACAGTCGAAACAGATGAACAAGCAAACGGATTGGCGGCGAGGACCTTCGGTGCCGTTGGAGAAAACGGGCCAGTGGTTATTGACAGTTTGCCAATGGTGCGCGATACAAAGTTCTGCCGCTACTGCTGTGTACAATGAGCAGGGCCAGGGAAGCGCAGTGCGCCCTCTTGGCTTCCGAAGCCCCTGTGACACCCTGTGTTCAGAAGAATGTTTTCCCCATCTAAGTCATGGCTCTACTATCAATCTCTCGAAGCTATGGAACCCTTCGTTTCAATTATCTAGGCCCGCCCACCGTCGAGGTGGTCGCCTCGAAGTTCCTCCCCGTCCCCGCCAGCGGCACTCCGGCCCGCCCCGCTCTTCGGTAACGCCCGCCCCCCCTTCCCCCCAGCCCCACCCTCTCCGCCGCCCCCCACCACCCCCTGACGTGCTCGGCCCTCCTCCCCGTCCGCCCTCAAGTACCCGTGCATGCCGCCAAGCTCCATGTCTGCGTCCGTACGCACACGCGGGGAGGGGTGCCGAGATTTTTCGTACGTGTCATGTACGTATGAGCTCAAATCTGAATGGGCTTCATCAGGATTTCTTGATTTCTTTGATAGATACCTGCAAGGTATTGTGTGTGGTGTCCTTGCTCTCTTTCGCACCACCACGTTACAAAAAGAATGACTACCCACGCGGGTTCAACTACAACACTGCTGTTGTTGCGCCTGGCGCCCTGCCCTCTGACACCTCGAGGCACAACTGCCCCTCCCCCCCCTGTTAGCCCGTACTAATAATCTGGTTTGTCCGACTTCTCACATATTCGAACAAAAATCCGAGCCTGGTCTCGTGAGAACCCGGCGTGCTCCGTCCCGGCTTTGTAGGAATGCGAGGTGANCCCCCCCCTCCCCCGACCTGTTCATCCGCAATAATCTGGTTAGTCCGATTTATCATATATTTGAAATGAAATTCCGCTGTTCTGGCCAAGAGTTCAGCTTTTGCCGGAACTTGACCTGAAAACAAATACGAAGTACTTGTGAAAATACTATGCATCTGCATATGTAGATGTAGATGTACCACTTTCGCCTGTTTTCCAGCTTCGGGATATATTTCGCTGGCGGAAGCGAGCCTTTTCTCACCCGCTTCCTTCTCAGGGGCACGTAGGGGGGTCGTGGGTGCATTGCTATGCACGCCCGAGGGCCGCCAGCCACCCGTGGCGCGTGCGCTTGACGCCCAGAGTTGAAAACACTGACTGGCTCTACACAACCCCGGCGAGGATTGTATTTGTCCGTGGCCTTTTAATCATCCACATGTAACCGGGACTGACTATCGCCGCGATAAAAAGGACGAAAACACACACACAACCGGCAAACAACCGGGACTTGTGTGGATCTTCCCGCTCGTAGTCTTGGGCCGGGTGTCAGTTTTTTTTTTGTTTTTCTCCCATCATCGGACTCTGTCGTCTGCCCCTCTGGCCCCTATCCTCCACTTTTACCAGCTAGACGACCGAACCGGGGTCACATACACCACCGGGGCGACAGGTGTCAAGCCTCGGTGTACAATGATTCCGGCAAGACCAGCCCTTAACCGTGCGTACAATGAAGTTCGCCCGCTTGATGAAAATGACCAACCAGGCTGCATGCACTAAATTAGTCTACACACGCGGATCACTGCGGACTATGTACGTACGTGTGCAAAGTTGCACACGCATGAAAAAAACGTTGCCTTACTGTAGTGCATGTATGTATGTGGAACACCAAACGTGCAATCGTGCAAGCCGGTGGATGGAGTCGTCTTTAGCGATTGCTGCGCGTGGGCCTCGCGAAACAACGGCTCAGATTTTGGACGGGAGTAACATACACTGGTAAAGGTAATCGACAGAGAATCAATCCTTCAGCCATGGATCCTACATCAAACTCTGCCATGTACTGTTGCAATCAGCCGTGCTCGACGGTGGTGACGAAAGGAGGAGAAAAGAGCCTCGACCCCAAACGCGGGCGCTAGTAACGCACTTCGCTAATGATCTGCTCGCAGGTACTACCCTCTGAAAAAAAGGATGGTTGCCTGGCGTTGCCTTGCGGGGTAAAAATACACTTCTTATATACTTCTAAATAGGTTGACTTCCTCCCAGCCTTTTGTAGGCTAAAAAAAAAACATGGGTTTTTATTAGGCGTGTTTAACCCACAACTAAATAGTCGTCTCTTCCACAAGAGGGTGTCAAGTCACCTCTTGCTAGTCGTTGCTAGATTAGAAAGAAAGAAACGCGCATTGTTGTGTGATCCCTCATCTACACACAGAACTCTGTCGATCGCGTTCCGTGTGCCTGCTTACAGTCATACGCAGTACTACTGCTGCACATCGGCACATGCACGCGTACGGAACCACAACCAACGAAGTTTAGCGCCGTCACGTCGGCAACTGAACAGGAAAACGAAGGCCCTTGCGTGACACATCCACAACAATGTGAAGTTCTGTCCGCGTTTCGACTTTCGAGTCGTGTTCTCACTGGGAAGCCGCTCAGCAGAAAGCGTCACCGATCCCCCATTGGTCGCTTACTTCGTCTGCCTTGCACGTCTTGCTGTCATGACGCACTTACGTAGCAATGGCACGCAGCAGGCAATCATTTGCCGTCGCCATAGCGCCAAGAAATTCTTCCAAACAGCAACACATGTGAAATGGATCAGAAAATTTGAGAGGATGATGATGATGATGAGAGGTGCGTGAGCGAGTTGATAGCTGAGATGACGAGAAGAATCTCGACAAGTTCGAGCGGATTACAGCATGATGATGAGGGGTACGCACTTGTCAGGGGCAGGAGGCGTTGGTGAGGACACCATGCATCTCTCCGTCTCCGTCTCGTGCGCACTATCTCTCCGCAGCATCGTAATTCTTGCTTAATAAAACCAACATGCACAACTCGGTATGTTGGGCACACATTTTTTTTTGGACTTTGTCGTCTGCTCCTCTGGGCTCTATCCTCCACTTCTACCAGCTAGACGACCCAACCGGGGTCACATAGAAGGGGGAGGTTGGACCCCCTCCTACGGTCCCTGCCTGATATATTTTTATCGCGAGAAGGTACAGCGATCCCATCCCTCGCGACTGATGAACTCGATCAAGTTTACTAACAACGAGCTTTGCAGCGCGTCGCTCCCAACGGAGATATGTAGCACAGTGAAATACCCCATTTGGAAACAAGAAGCATGCAACTCGGTTCGTGCGTATGCCATGNCTCTGTCTATATTTACAAGTATGGTCCACGCTGCCTACAAATGGGAGAAGTAGCCGTACCTCCTGCCTACACACGGACGAGAGAGGTGAACACACCCACTGCATTTAACACACACCCACATGTCGGTGATGAAACCTCATCAACCACACGCCTCTATCGGCGACCACGTCATAAGGAGGCAATGATGAGGAATGTTCTCTCGTGCCCTTCTCGCATTTAACGACATGAAATTCCTCAACAACATAACATATATGAGACTCCCAACACATCCCCTTTGACAATGCAGAGGTATTAATAGTAACTAATCAAAGGGTAATGTTATCTGTAGAAATTTCATGGCAGGACGCACTATANGCAGTCATTCCGGTTTTAGCTCAGCCACCCACCTCTCTTGGATTGCGGAGCTAGCCGGCATTTCGGATCCAGCCGTTGTGCGATACTAATCATCTCCGATAGGACTTGAGGAGGACGGACTGTAAAGCTGTAGAGTATACTGCACTGCGTTTGCTCCTTGCTGCTGCTCTTGGCTGACCCAGGACTTCGAAAAATCCCCACAGGTACGAGCAAACTTTTTTGTGTGTGGTCGAAGATGGACTGCGCCTCTGCACAAGCCCAACATGCCACCATGCACAACATACTACTGCTGCCGTTCACCTGTCGCCGTCCTTCCACGTCTACCTGTCCATGACACATGCTGCCACTTGATGCGGCAACATCTGGGAACAACACGGACACAGGGAGTACCCCCGTACCCATACGCACAACCTCTCATTCCTCCCTTGTCAAACACAAATGATGTAACATGCATGAAATGATGAACTCTGTCTATATTTACAAGTATGGTCCACGCTGCCTACAAATGGGAGAAGTAGCCGTACCTCCTGCCTACACACGGACGAGAGAGGTGAACACACCCACTGCATTTAACACACACCCACATGTCGGTGATGAAACCTCATCAACCACACGCCTCTATCGGCGACCACGTCATAAGGAGGCAATGATGAGGAATGTTCTCTCGTGCCCTTCTCGCATTTAACGACATGAAATTCCTCAACAACATAACATATATGAGACTCCCAACACATCCCCTTTGACAATGCAGAGGTATTAATAGTAACTAATCAAAGGGTAATGTTATCTGTAGAAATTTCATGGCAGGACGCACTATACGGGGTCCGGGTGAGTGTCGTGGGCTGACTGCACGTCGCCTGCAGGTTTGCGAAAAAAGAGGGCTCGTCTCCGGAAAGTCTCCGCGTGCTATGCCGGTCGTCGGAGATCTATCTATCCTTTGAGCGAAGCGTTGCTCACAGGATCGATGCCGAGCCTCTGGTCCTCCTTGGCAATCGAGAGAGGGGGGGATGCAACGGTACGAAAATCAACATGAAATCGTTTTGTGGGAGGGCGGGGCAGGGGCAGAACGGTAGATCACGAAAAGTGTAGATCACAAAGGTCGACCGTGACGTCAACGACGGGTGGATGGGTGAATCTCGAAGTTCCACAAAAAAATATGGATGCCAAAAAGAACCTCCGCTCCGCACCCCCAGCCCCCAGCCCAAAGGACCGCCTAAGACCACTGCTGTTTATGGCGAAAATATCTTGATCCTCCTTTCTTTCGACAAATGTTGAATTTTTCGACCTTTTGGGCAGTGGGGGNAGAGCGACGAGAACAGCGGACCTACCGGCGGCAGGCCGCCGAGGGGCCATCGCCGACCCGCGAGATACGACAACACAGGCGAAAGTGGTGCTGCCTGTGGTCATGGGTTGGGTCATGGGTTGCAGCAGTCTGCTGCCGCCGTTGATGATGACAACGGCCGCGGCCGCGACCCTCTCCCGAGCCACGCCTCTCGCCGGCTGCGCGTGGCCGCCCCCGCCGCTGCCGTAGAAGCGGAGGGTTCGCGATGCCCCCTTACGATGCTGTCGCAAGCTGCCGGGGTCGCCGGGTTTGCTACCACGACAACCACCGCAGCAGCCATCGCCCGCATCACGGAAAGCGGGTTCATCTCCAGGCTGCGACGCTTTCGCCGCCTTTGCTCCGCGAAATCTGCAGATCCACAGCGCTTTCCGTGACCATCCATGGTCTACAAGCTTACAGGCGACACAAGCAAGCCACCTGGGGACTGTCCCCGAGATCTGGAGTGCGAGAGGGTGCTCAGCGTGCTGGCGACTGCAGTGCAACTCGAGTGCTCCCATTTCGGAGTCATTTCGGAGTTTCTCTTCGGAAAATGCAGAAAATGAAGCGGCGCCCGAAAAATTCCGACGCTTCATTTTCAGCATTTTCCGACAAGAAATCGGCATTTTCCGAAAAGTAGGGCGCATGTCGGCATATTCCAACAGAACAAATCTCGTTAAGAATCCTCCTAATCCCAAAATCTAGCAAAGACTCGGTCCGTGGTCACAAAAATGGTATTTGCCCTGGTCGGAAAGCGACACACTTGAGAACATGGTCACTTCCTTTCTTCCCCTCGCTGCCTCGGCAAGGTTTTGCGTAGGCATGACCCAAAGCGAGGGGAGGAGTCTTTCCAGCGAGCAGGGCTAGACTCACCCTCAGGGGACCGATACCTTCTTGCTGCGGCGCACCCGCCGCGAGGCGTGCGTAGTGGTGGAGTTGGTTCGGCACTGCTGTGCGTCAGGTACTAGTCTAAATACTAAATAGAAAATTGTGGAGAACACCTTCATAAAGGTTGAAACTCCCCAACGTCTGTCGAGGACGAAACTCTCTTTTCCACAATGGCATCGACAAGAGATGTCAGGTGTCTGCTTTTGGTTGCAAAAGACACGGGTTCAAACCCGCTGCTCACCTAATTTTCTTCCGGAGTACGGAAAAAGAAAAACGGTGGGTGGGCCAAGAAACGATGCACTGTCTATCGAACTCGAAACTTCTGGCAATGCGTGGCGGAAGTGGTGCACCCGCACACACGCACAGAAGATTGTTGGAAAAAAGGTGGTTCTACTCGCCGCCAGCCGGTCGGGTTCCGGTTACCCCAAGAAGACTTCTCTTGCCTAGCAAACAGCTAGCAAACAAGAAGAAGCCTCGAAAAAGGGGGGGGTAATGTGGAGAACACCTTCATAAAGGTTGAAACTCCCCAACGTCTGTCGAGGACGAAACCCTCTTTTCCACAAAATAGTAGATAATTTTTTGTGCACATATAGTCTAGACTATATCTTCTGTGATTAAAAAAAATTTGAAGCTGCTGTATCAGCGTAAACTACAAAACGAAGTTCTGTGTTAGCACTACTGGCTTGTAATACGGTTGGCACACACACGAAAAACACAGCTGCTGTTGTTGTACAGCAGTCTTCCGACCTCCCATCGGTATGTCATTGCAAGTCATGACCTAGGTTCGCGAAGGAAATGTAAGCGCTAGCGTGTGATACGCTCAACAATCACAACTACCATCACTTTTGGAAGTACTCCCACCCGTACAGGCGACACACCGTAGACTAGACTATATACTGCATCATACGGACATCCCCCCTAAGATCCCCTCTGCTGTGAAGCAGACGAGCATTGGGAACCCTCATCTGTTCATTATTGCGGATGATATGGCGTCTCTCCGACGTGCGCAGCAACCAAGCATGTGTATGTATGTGCCCTGGCGCTGCTGCTGCTGTCCCAAGGAACTTGCACCCAAGGACACTAACTACTGCTGTAATTTACGACAACGAACAACACAGCTCCTAACTTGCCGTGTCGCGCACACAGTCCACGTTACAGCAATGACGTTCGACGCTGTGAAGCAGAAGGCATTTCGACCCATTATTTGTTTGTCGTTGCAGGTGATGACTGTCCGACGTGCACAGCAACGAAGCATGGATGTGGCCTGCTGCTGCTGCTGTCCGAAGCAACAGGCACCCAGGGACTGCTGTACGTTACTGTACGACAACGACCAACTCAGCTTCTAAACTTGTTGTGTCACGCACACAGCAGGTCACGCTACTACAGCATAATGTGCTGCAGCCTTTTGAGTATGTGTAGCAGACGTGCAATTGGACTCCCAAGTACGTGCGGGTCACCCGCAACAGCACCACAAGCGTGTCGTCGTTGAATCAACCATCAAGCATGACATGCAGACCGCCTTCGCGAATAAGTAGCGTTCCAAGTCGGCCCAACTATTGTAGTCTTTTTATCAACTGCTGCAACACATGCAAACTGTTCGTGGGTCTGCGAACATTGGTGTCGGATACATGTGCTGGATGATTTTGTGTCACGCAGACTGGTAAGATTGCCGTTTGGAAGGGGGCACCGCGATGATTCACGGGGATCCTCCTAGCTGCTGGAAGGCGGCTGGGCCAGCAGATCGGGAGCGAANCGGCTGGTCCAACAGGGCTCGCTCCCGATCTGCTGGACCAGCCGGAGTGGGCCCGGGCATAGGACCGGACTACGGGGAAGCGAGGGGGTTAAACCCCCCAGGTGAGATACCCGTGATTCGAGGAAACGGAGAATACCTCGACGGCCACAGCAGTAGCCACCAGAAAAGAGTGACGGTCATTGCCCCGCTTCTAGACGGAACAAGCCGTAGCCATGGATTTGATTCGTGGCGAAAATCATTCATCGNGCTGGAAGGCGGCTGGGCCAGCAGATCGGGAGCGAACCCTGTTGGACCACGGACGGAGTGGGCCCGGGCATAGGACCGGACTACGGGTCCGCGAGGGGGTTAAACCCCCCAGGTGAGATACCCGTGATTCGAGGAAACGGAGAATACCTCGACGGCCACAGCAGTAGCCACCAGAAAAGAGTGACGGTCATTGCCCCGCTTCTAGACGGAACAAGCCGTAGCCATGGATTTGATTCGTGGCGAAAATCATTCATCGAAGCTGCGAAGACCATCGACTTGGACGGGCTGTTTATAGG